ATTGGTTATCGAGGGACTCATAAACCAGTAGACTGCATGTTAAATACGGTTTATGGTTTGACTCATTAGTTTCAGTAAGAAACAAAAATAGCATGCTTGCAAGCACAGAATTTCTCAGTGACCAGTAATTGCAGCTGTCAATTCACTAACTGCTTTTGTCAGCTGTGAACCACAAATGGCGGAAAGTGAAATTTTACAGCTTTTTGTAACGGTCCTTATGCATAATAATTGTCAACTTACAAGATTTCCAGCAATGCACTACAGAATGGAATGCCACGTGGGACTGTAAGCTTAAGTTTATTTATACCACCACTATCAATTGCTGCATACTTACATAGCTGCTTGGATTGAAAAAAGAAGCATATTCACCAAAAATCTAAGCTGTCATATACACCTGACATTTAGGTCCCCATAAAGTCAAAATAAAACCTGGGCAGCTGCGGACAGCTTTTCCTTATCAAGGGCAATATGCTTACTAGACCCCAAAATGGTGATTGATTCCCTGAATTATTACAGTATATATTACCATTCTATAACAAACTGTGTATGCCATAGTTGTTGGAAAACAACTTCTTAAAGTTCCTTCCTAAATTTACATTTTGAATTTGTCTATTGAAAATATTAGACCCAACTGGAGACTGCCCTCAAACAGGACTGCTGGAAAATTTGTGCTAATCAGTGTATTCTGGCAGTGTAGATGCCCAGCTGTCAGAATACAATAACACAGCAGGGAAGATTTCCCATCCACCTCAATTTTATGGATGGGCATTCTGTTCAGTAATTTTTGATCAGCCTGCTGGCTAAGAAAAATGAATAATGTATGGGCAGCTTAAATTTCACAGAGTAAAGTATTCATGAACACTTCCTATCTCTGTGTTGCTGGGTTGGAAACCACACAAAGAGAAAGTAGGAGAGAGAGTCTGGGACCACATGTCCTACTAGGGAGGAGCTGCTACTAATCCAGACCAGAAGCAGAGATTATTAGGTAAGTATTTCTATTTTTAATAGTTTAATATTATTACCCATAGCTTCTGCTTGTACATATGTATCTATTTAAAGATGTTGACAGAAATATATCTGTCCCCTTGTTTTTATCTTATATTCACTATACCAGATGGTTCAGTCTGTGACACAGTGTGCGTCCCTCTCCCTTTTGGTCTGGGATTCTATAGCTCTCTCTTTTTCTCTCATCCACTACCTTTAATACGTTTCTTGTAAATTGCACCAAGGCAACTGCACATATAAGTATAACAGCAGACGAAATCTGTAAGTGTCTATGAACGGAAATAGAATAATTTAGCAACACCAAATTAATATGTTGCACCTTGTACACTTACACTACCTTTCCGATTAAAAAAAACAAAAACAAAAAGAATGCATAAGATAGGTGGGTTGGGTAAGAATCTGTCAGGTTTATACTGATGTTTTTGTCATCACTGATGTTTTTGTTCTCACTGAGAACAATCTTCTTGATCCTCTTCAGTCCAAATTTTGCCAACAACACTCCACAGAAACTGTTCTCCTTAGCCCCTTCCCGCCGGTGCCTCCCGGCCCTTTAAGAGTTTCAGACGCCGGGAGGCGGGGCAGGTGGGGCGTGGTTTAGGGATCATGTGACCGCCGTGACGCATCGTCACGGTGATCACATGATCGGGAAAGGTCCCGATCGAAAGAACGGACAGGGACCATTCTGTGAGTACCGCACATGTGTGCTGGGAGCACACAGGGTGCGTGCTCTCAGCACATATGTTCTTTCTTACATGAACGCAAATGTGCGGCCGCTCGGCGTCTAGGCCCAGACGCCGGGAGGCCGCACATTTGTGTGCAGCCGCCGTAAAGGGGTTAAACTTACAAATTGCCTACTAATGGCTAAAACCAATGGACACTATTCTGTACTCCTGGACCTATGGACCTTTGACACGGTGGACCACTCCCTCCTCCTCAAAAAATTCTACTCCTCTGGTCTTCGTGACTGTGCTTTTCGAAGGTTCTCATCCCACCTATCCCACTGCACCTTCAGTGTCTCTTATAATTCTACTTCCTCGTCTCCTCTTCCTTTCACAATAAATAAATCAACTATCAACCCGTCCCCGCAAGCCAAGGTTCTAGGTATAATCCTGGACTCTGAATTATCCTTTATGCCCCATATCCAAACACTGTCCAAAGATTGCCACCTCATCCTCTGCAACATCTCCAAGATTCGCCCCTTCCTAACTAATGACACCACAAAGCTTCAAGCTTCAAACTCCCTGGTCATCTCACGACTCGACTACTGCAACTCCCTCCTCACTGACTTACCTTATATAGGCTATCCCCCCTTCAGTCCATCATGAATGCTGCTGCCCGGCTCATCTATCTTACCAACCGTTCAGTGTCTGTCACCCCTCTCAGCCAATCCCTCCACAGGCTTCTGATTGCCAAACAAATTAAATTCAAGATACTTACAACAACTTAAAAAGCCATCAACAATTTGGCCTCCAGCTACATCACTAACCTAGTCTAAAAATACCAACCAAATTGTTCTTTTCATTCCTCCAAAGACCTTCTGCTCTTTAGCTCCCTTGTCACCTCCTCCCATGTTCGCCTCCAGGACTTCTCCTGAGCCTCTCCCATTCTCTGAAACTCCCTACCCCAATGTGTCTGACTACTGCCCCTACCTAACAACTGTAAATGTATCTTCTTAATCAGCCCATCCCCCACAGTTATCACCTCTTGTATCTCTTGTACCTCCCTCTTAGATTGTAAGCTCTAAGAAACAGGGGCCTCTGATTCCTCCTGTATCAAATTGTATTGTGATTGTACTGTCTGCCCTTATGTTGTAACGTGCTGCGTAAACTGTTGGCGCTATATAAATCCTGTATAATAATAATCACTAGGGAGATTGTTCTGGCTACTATGCTGCAAGTAAAGGAAAACAGTAGGCCCAGTAGGACCACAGCCATAAAAAAAATTATTGAAGGTTTAACTCTTCCTCAATCTACTAATTAAATGTTATTGTTTAATTTATGTAAGCACAATACATTTTAATAATTAACATACTGACTGGACCAAAGGTTCAGGAATGTAAATTAAGGGGAAGGTATGCATACTGCAAATATTTATTTGGCAGAGTTTTGTGTTCCAGCGTCATGATATACATATGGTCCAGAATATGCTCATACTGAGTATAGATAAAAATGGCTAGGCATATAGGGGGGTTAATTACTAAAACTGCATGGTGCAAAATCTGGTGCAGCTGTGCATAGAAACCAATCACCTTCCAGGTTTCATTGTCTAATTTGAAGTTAGAATCTGATTGGCTACCATGCACAGCTGCAGCAGATTCTGTTTTAGTAAATCAGTCCCATAGACAGATCCTTTGGTGCTGTTATATGTTTACTGTGGGAAGTTGTGCTCTGTTTGGGAATGTGCTCTATCATCCTACACAGGAGCATGTGTACGAAATCCAAAACTGCTCAACGGCCTTTCCCTGAGTCAGCCCAGTTAGCACAATTAGCTAATGTGCTTATTCTTGTGTACTCCAAATCATTGCCTGATTTTCCTGAAATCAGTCAGTTGATGGTTACCAAATGTCTATTGTCACCTTTAGCATAGTTTGTGCATGGCCATTCATGACTTTCCTTTATATTTATACTTTATTAAAATTGAAATATTTAGTGTTGCCTCAGCGGATTATCTTAATGTGCAAAAAAGCAACTGTTAGATTGCAGGCGCCAAAACAATAGATTCAATTGGAATTAAAACTATGTTGTGCTGCAGTAATGGTTCCATAAAATATGTGCTTGTACTGTTATTCTATTTCAATCTACATGTGAGTGCTGGAATTGATGGCTTAGTCTTCATTTTATGCTACTTAACCTTATCAACTCTATACACGTACGTACTGTCAAAGGAAGTAGCAAAGCAGCTTATATGAAGTCACAGTGATACTATTCAAGGCCTGTTCTTTGCTGACTCAGGAATGGCATTTCAATCTGACGCTTAGCCACGCACTGATGAAGAACAAGCTGAGTGAAAATGTTTTTTTTATTCTGAAAGGATGGTATACTGTGGTTGTGGTTAGTGGCATCTTCACTTTATTTATGAGTATATAGGATTTCACTGATCTAAACCCAAAATTGATTAAAATCCATTCTGGTACTGTATATGTAGGTACTTTGTTTAGATCCACATACAACTCCCGACAGAGACCTGTTTAAGGTGCAATGGTTGCAAATGTCAGCTGCGGGTGTTGTGCTTGCAAAAGTCCATCTCTTTCTTTCATCCATGTGCATTAACCCCTTGGTAAAGCAAATCTTAATGCTTGAACACAATTTTGCAACTTTGAAGTGTATTAGTAAAACTGTACATATCGTCACAACTACTTTGTGTATCAAGGTGGATTGTAGCTTGTTTTTTTTTCAGGACAAACTGGGCTTTCTTTCGGTGATAAATGGTATTGAATATCCCCGACTTTATTTTTAAATAATCAAAGAAAAACTGAAGCTAAATAGTTAAAAAATATATTTTTATAATTTAGCTGTATATTTCTTGCTATTACCATAACTTACCACAAAATTTCAGCTCAAAATACATTTTCCTGTTCCTAAAGATTGCAGTGATACCACATATGTGTATGTTAGTTGTTGTGTAGTAGGCCCAGAAACAACAGTACACATTTTGCTTTTTTTATTATACCTAATACACACTGACATTAACTGACACTGATACTAATTAAAAAAAAAATGTATATATATACTCCCAGACCCCAACCTATCACCATTACCTTGACCATTGACCTTTACCTTGACCCTAACGCTGACCCTGACACTAACCTAGATCAAACTTTGATCCAGAATATTTTATATATTTATATATATATATATATATATATATATATATATATATATATATATACCTACCATATTTTTCGCTCCATATAACGCACTTTTTCCCCCCCAAAAAAGAGGGGAAAATGTCAGTGCATCTTATGGAGCGAATATAAAGCGGCCAGCCCGGTATTTCCACTGCCACCATGTCAGAATACTGGGCCAGCCGCTCAGCTGTTCTCTCCTGCAGGGCCTTATCTGTTCCTCGGTCCAGCGCTGCGCAGTCTTCCAGCACCAGCTTCTTCCCGCGCCGGCATCTGTGACAGTCGGGTGCCCACTGCGCGAGTAGCGCTGCATTTTGTGAATGGTCCGGCATCTTCTGGCACACATGACAGGTCCCAGAAGACACCGGGCCATTCACAAAGTGCAGCTCTTCTCGCGCATGCGCAGTGGGCACCCGGCTGTCACAGCCGGGTGCCCACAGTAAAGGGAGGACAACTCCGCGGAAGTGGGAGCAGGTACCTGTCAAATTCAGATACCTGCTCCCCCTCCCTCCCTAACGGTCCACAGTCTCTGGTCATCCCCTGTACTGTCTGCAGTCTCTGGTCATCCCCTATACTGTCTGCAGTCTCTGGTCATCTCCTGTACTGTCTGCAGTCTCTGGTCATCTCCTGTACTGTCTGAAGTCTCTGGTCATCTTTTGTACTGTCTGCAGTCTCTGGTCATCTCCTGTACTGTCTGAAGTCTCTGGTCATCTCTTGTACTGTCTGCAGTCTCTGGTCATCTCCTGTACTGTGTCCGCAGTCTCTGGTCACTTCCTGTACTGTGTCCGCAGTCTCTGGTCATCTCCTGTACTGTGTCCGCAGTCTCTGGTCACTTCCTGTACTGTGTCCGCAGTCTCTGGTCATCTCCTGTACTGCGTCTGCAGTTTCTGGTCATCTCCTGTACTGTGTCCGCAGTCTCTGGTCATCTCCTGTAGTATGTCCGCAGTCTCTGGTCATCTCCTGTACTGTGTCCGCAGTTTCTGGTCATCTCCTATAGTATGTCCGCAGTCTCTGGTCATCTCCTGTACTGTGTCCCCAGTCTCTGGTCATCTCCTGTACTGTGTCCGCAGTCTCTGGTCATCTCCTGTACTATGTCCGCAGTCTCTGGTCATCTCCTGTACTGGGTCCGCAGTCTCTGGTCACTTCCTGTACTGTGTGTCTGCCCTCCATTGGTTCAGAATATTTTTTTTCTTGTTTTTCTCCTCTAAAACCTAGGTGCGTGTGAGTCTTATGGTCCTCATTGTTAGTACGAGTCCCAGGGCTCCTAGCACAAACACAGGTACGATATATGCAACCTCACAGAGAGAGACCCACTTTCACATGTATGTGTACAGGCAGCGTGAAGGGGTTAAAGGAGCATAATCAGTAAAACTTCAATAGCCAGTCCTAGCTCCACTCTAATTATGCATTTAAAAACACCGTCTCATAAAGCATATATCTATATTAGGTCCATGATCATATACATCTAAACAAAAAATAAAAAACTTTATATAATTTGTATGTCTCTAGATCTTATAAGGACCTATTCACTCATAGTATGGTGACTAGCATTTTTCCACACTGGAAGAACACCAGTCACCACTAGGGTACACAAAAACCAATTGTTTTCTATGTGCCCTATTTGCACTGCAACACAGCCTAGAAATGAGGTGCAGTGAGCTGTGATAATATGCAGACATGCTGCACTTTATCACTGCATACATGGAAGACATTGTACAGCAGTGCAATGCACCACGCTGTTGTACGGTAACATGAACTGTCAATCTGCGCATGTTACCTAAAGTTTAGGGAAAAAAAGGGAGTTTTGTGATGCGGCAAAACACACATCAAACTGCCCCCTGCCACAGGCTCACTGCAGTGCACGGAAAGCTGCCCCCACACTAAACCATTCTGATTTAGTGTGCTGGCAGTACGAACTGGCCCTACATTTTATTAAATCCTATGTTGATCATAGGATCATTAGGATTAATGCAAAAACACAAAATAATATAATAAAAGAAGAGAATAGGAAGAAAAAGAAGGAAGAAAAAATAGGGATAAGCAAACAAGAATAAATAGGGGATAAAAAGGAGGGAGGAAATAGAAGAGTTAGAAGGATGAGGAGGAGAGTAAGGGCTCATGTACACTACAGCTTACAAACTCACGTTTAGGAGATGTTCAGCGTTTTTTTCAGCAGCTCCTGAACTCACCCTAATGTTTTCCTATGTGTCCATATACACATCTTCGTTTACAGGCAGTTGAGTTTACAGTCATTTTTTGAATGCAACAAACTTGCATTCAGACGTAGATTTTATCAGCGTTTCAAACGCAAAACTCTTGTAAAAACACGGCAAATCGCGTTTAAAAGCGTTTGCGTTTGAATTTTTTTTTTTAACTCTTCCAGTCCCCAATGCTGTCTAGAGCCTTTTACCATCATGAAAAATGCATGCAAAGAGTTTTCAAGGTGCTCAGATGGACAAAACACTTAACACAGGATGTTCTTACCAAGCTTGTCACACATTGTAATGACCAATTCACACCTCAGACCTCTCCCACCCTTGGAAAAAAAAGATATGTTAATGCGCATTCACACCTCAAATTCTTCATGGAGACCCCCTGCCAGGTGACCTTAATGACTCACTCCAGCAGACACCTTCCCACCCTTGGAAACAAAAGAAATGTTAATGAGCAACTCACACCTAATTATCTCAACACCTACTGCTGTCTCTGCTTCTACTGTGTGTATTTCTCTGAAATAGTAATTAATTTATCACTTTTCAGTGCATTCTGGGCATTTGGCAGGTTCTCCTGTGCTTATCTTTAAAAAACGCTTCTAAACGCAAACACACATAAACGCGCAAAAAACGCATTATGCAGACATGGCTAAACAGACGTTTTTTAACGTACGTTTTCCAGCAGTCAGGAACAGATTGAGGAACAGATGAGTGGCTGTTTTTTTAAAAGTCAGCAGCTACAGTTTTTGTAGCTACTAACTTTTATTTTCTTACAGTGTGACTGGCACTCCGGTTTAAGAATATTGATCATATGAAGCCATTTATTATCAAATAGTTGTTTGGCTCCTTTTTAAATCAAAATGATAACAGAAATCACCCAAATGGCCATGATCAAAAGTTTACTTACCCTGGACATGTTTAATAGCAAAATGTAAAAAATATTGTTTTGTTTTTTTTTAAATTGTCATTATTTTTTTGTTTATAGCGCAAAATTTTAAAAACGCAGAGGTGATCAAATACCACCAAAAGAAAGCTCTATTTGTGGGAAAAAAGGAACATGAATTTAATTTACATACAGTGTTGCATGACCGCGCAATTGTCATTTAAAAATAACTCAGCACCGTAAATCACAACAAAAGGCCTGGTCAGGAAGGGGGGTAAATCCTCTGGAGGACAAGTGGTTAAACTGAATGGGTTGTTTAACAAGATAAGGGTTAACATATACTTTACCACCAGAGCATGCAGGCTGCTGCTTCATCTTTCACCTTGTATCATGAATGTATAAAGCTCCATTGCTAATGTACTAATTCATTTTTAATGACCACTTTGTTTACATAGCAAACACATAAGCTGCTTTTATCATTTTCCAATTTATCAAGCCCAGTCTTGGCTAATTAAGCAATCCCCAGAATCTCTAGCAGAAACATTACTGTTCTGCAAATAGATCCCTGCACAGCCAGAAATTTGCCTCAGAAAAAACATGAGATACAGAGGAATCACATTAACATATTATTTTAATCACTCGGTTATTTCATTTGAGAATTATATAGCATTTTTTTATTACTTATTAGATATATTAATTATTCAGGGGCACAATATTAAAAAGTTATTAAGTTACAAATGCAAAGATGAACTAAAAGTCACTGAGATTTAGTAAAAATCTTTATTTCATTTTAAACATTAGTCATATAATATTTCATTTATTTATTGAACCTTGCAGACACCGTGGATATAAAATAAGGTATCATTAAAAGTCAATTCACATTTATCAGTTTAAATGCAGCATAATCAGCATTTTATGTACAAATCCTATTCTTTCCTATGGGGCTGCTGCACATCTATGTGCTGCAGTTTTGTGTGAAAGGCAAAGAAAAAGGGAAACTCTCTAAGCCATTTCACACCTACCTAAAGGTACCAGGGGCATTTCATGGGGCCCCCTACTGACACCGGGCCCTCGAGCAATGCCCGAGTGCTCCAATGGTTGGTCCGCCCCTGCTCCTAACCCTCTTGTATTGAACTGTATTGTTGCTGTATTGTCTCACATTATATTGTAAAGCGCTGAGCAAGCTGTTGGCGCTATATAAATCCTGTATAATAATAATAATAAAAAATTAAGCTTTGCAAATAAAACCTGGAAGTTGATTGATTTCTTTGCAGAAGTGAGCCTGATTTTACAGTCTCCAGCTTCAGTAAATAAACTCCAGTGTGTATCCAGCCTTAAACTTCCAAACAGACCATTTTTTTAAAGATTGGTTACATCCTCTGCCAGGCATTCACTGCTGGCTGTGTCTGTGTTGAGGCTATTTCCCTCATGCCCTGGTGAGCACTAAGGCATTGTTATGAGCTGACCTTTTTTCCTCCCTGGATTACATTTTCCATATATCACTGTGAAGAGCCAATGGCCATACTCCTTATAAGGTCTTTGATATTAATGCATTATTTTGTGTTTCTATTATTTTACACATCCTTTGTATGTCATTATCATTGAGACCCTCTTTACAGTAAAAAGGTTGAGAATTGGGAAAACTGAATTCTTCTAAATTCTCTTTATAAATCATGGATCTGAAACTTGCTTCACTGTCGAGACTCTGCTTGATAATCAGTATGCCATTAAGATTATTTATTTTGGCCTAGGCCCCCTTTCAACTTTCCATGGTAACACCCAGAAAACTTGTCACAAAAATAAAAATGATAGTGCAAATGAAAAATATGTGTCACGGAAAGTATTGAGTTGCTTTTGTTTAAATGTTCTCTAAATTCTGTACCCATTCTATGGTTAAAAATGTGCCTAGGAAAAACTGAAGTGTTGATTTTATTTACTTTTTTGTGATTGGATAATGGAAAGATTGGGGCTGTGAAAAGGATGGTCAGCACTCATAAACTGTAGAAATGAAATAACTATTATTTTTTTACAAACATAAATGAAAGATTAGGTGATAATAGTATGGGAACAGGTGCCAACAGGAAAACCCAAAGCTTTTTTCAGCATTTTTTTTCAGACATTTTCTTTCGGTTGAGAATGGACACATCACTAGCAGGAAACAACTATGGTTAATAGACCTCCAAACATTGAATAAATAGATATTCATTAAATAATAGCACGGTTGTGTAAGGAGGACACAATGACAGGGGTTAAGTAAGAGAGCAACTTCAGGTGGTGGTATTGGTGAAGCTGGTGCAAGCTATGGACAAAGGAGTCTATTTATTTTTTAGGAAATACTGATAGTATAAGCTAATGATTAGGGATAATATTTGGGTTACATTCACATTTGACCCTAACACAGCTTATTTGACGTGCTGAAAGCACCAAATTAACTGGCCATATTTGAGAAATGTGCCCATTTTCATTCCTGGTTACTAGAATGTAAACAAAGCAGTTGGGGATAGAAGTAATATCAATGACCATATGGTCATAACTGTTGTTAGTCAATGACATCAACCAGGATCCCCAAGCCTGTGGTTTTTCATTTTAGCAGATGGGGATTCCGCCAAGCGAACTGATCAAATATGGCCAGTTTATTCTACACTGGGTATTTTGTTACTTAGTAGTGGTAATGTGGTGGGGAGGGATCATCACGCAGTGAGCTTTTGTGAAAGCAGGGAAACATTTTGGACAGCGGGTCATTCTGATTGATGATTGATCTACATTATCTGTCAACATGACTGATGATGAATTTACATTGGGGGGGACTATTTACATTTTGTTTGGTAATAAAGGACTTTCCTATAAGTTTGGGTGTCTTTAATCACCTTTCACTTATGGTAATGGATAAGGGGTGCTAATACCTCCTTGTACTTCCCTTGGGAGGGGGTGGATATCTGGGGTTCCTATTATAAAACAGTTTTCCACTTTCCTTAAGGCTCCCCTCCAGTTTTTCCATCACCTTTGAAACCTGCCTTTCAATGTTGAAAGGCATGA